AAAATTTAGAACCTTGTTAGATAATTGAACGAATGAAAGAAATAGAAAGTAGACACAAGTGGAATAGTTTTCGTCAATTATTCTAGTTAAAGCAGAATTAAATATCTCGAGAAAATGAAGGAGCAAAAGCGTACGATGAGAATTGATGACACGTTGCATATGGGTTGCGCAATTATTTATCTCGCAATTATTGAGCTAACCGCCTCCCGGTTAGCTCAATTGGTTAGAGCGCTGGACTGTTGTGCGGGAGGTCGAGGTCGATGGTTCGAGCCCCGGCCGGACCAACACTCAAGGTCTTAAAATAACTGAGGAGAATGCGCTACCTTTCTATAATATCAAGAAATGGATAGACATTCTAGTCTTCTCGGATAAGGACGAATAAACCGTAGGTCCCGTCTCCTGGATCTAGTAATTAGTTAATTTGGTTAGGCAAGGGACGTTAAAGAACCCACTCACGAGATTACTGTGATGTGGTCTGGCTTGTTTACTGGGAATTTGGGGGAGGGGGCATCTTTAAATAAGTTTCCTTCGATTGTTTGTAAACTGCTGATGCAGTCCGGCCAAAGTCCCCCGAAAAGTGTTGTGATGCGCATTTGATTATAGCCACATGTTAACTTCCGCAATATAAATATTAAATTATTATTATTATTATATATGAACTTCATATATACATTGTATCTGATTATTATTAATGTTGATCACGTGAATAGAACGTGATTCAGTGTACCGTGAAGGTGGCGTGACATTTTTAGAAGAGTAGTATTTTGCACTCTTATGCTACGGGTTTAATAATTTACGAATTGTTTTCACATTGCGTCTTCAAGTTTCTTCGGTTGTGCTACATGACAAATCACTCAAGGAAGACAGTTTTCTGACAGAGTTTGATGTTACTCTGGTTTAAAGATTTAATGAAAGTAACCGAGAAGTTACAATTCATAGACCCAAGCGTCCTTTCTTTGTGTTAAGCGCACCGAAAGCCAAGGTGACCTTTAACGCGAGCTTTGTTCTTATGAACGCAATTCGAAACCAAATCTAATGAAACTTACATGATATAAAAGCTTACATTCTGTATTTTCTCATTTTTTGGTGTTAATGACGCAAAATTAAAAGTGCGTACAAACACGACAAAATTCAGATTAGCGGTGGTAGCGACTTGACTTTCAGTGTTGATGACGAGTTTATTGTGGTGGCGAGTTGACTGCAAACCATGCTTCATGGGCGGATAATTCACGGCCAGTCGTAGAATCGCGACTCCAAAACACAGAGATGTGTGAAGAAATAAAGTTAAAATACGTTAAAGATTTTCCCGCCGGCTACAAGTCCGTTTAATGTTCACATGAAATATCTTTACCGCCAAAACGCGCCGTCAGCTTCGGGGCCGAGTCAGTTTTCGTTTCTTTTCTGCTCGTCATCCAGGTTAATTGCGTGTAACTGCAATCAGGTTTTTCAATACGCGATAAGTCAAAACAAACGATGCTTTTGTTGAGAACATCGATTCTTTGTCATTTTGGCAATGCCTAAAACGATTGTTTGTTTGGATCAAGTTGTACTAATTCAGGGATCATTAAGATTGAACGTATTATTTTCCAAATTTCTAATAATTTGTAATTTGTTCTTTCATCCTCATAATTCCAACTTTTTTCCCCTTGAAGGTTCCCTCTATAAGGAGTCGACTGCAGTTGCAACAGGAATGGATGCACTTTGCAACAGGAATGGATGCACTTTGCATCAGGAGACCTAAAATAGGAAAGACAACTCAATAAATTTAATTTAATTTAATTTAATTTATACTGTCTTGCGATTTCAACCAACAAAGGGGTAACCCGGCATTAGAAATAATAATAATTATGATAATATTAATTGGTACTTCTTTTGTGCCATATCCTATTGCTCAGGGCGCTTTACAACACTTTGCTGGATACTTTGGTGAGACTGTATGGCAATTTTTGAATGAAATTTTTGTAGGCGCCACCAATATCAGAATCAAGGCCAGACCACACTACCGGAAGCTACGTTCCCTACTCTTTGTGTTAAGGCGGCTGAACACAGTTTTTGCACGCGCTTTTGCTGATGCAATTCAGCGCGCGCACAAGATTTACTCAACACGTATCCGCACTATCTGTGCTATTTTTCTCTATAGCTAGCGCAGTGTATTGAGGCCTTTAATCTTTTATTAAAGATATGTTAGAACAGTTAACGGTGCAAAGAACCCAGCAATTCTCAGCGTTTTCGTCGTTACGGAAAGAATCCAGTTAAATGCAGCGCATGCGTAGTAAGTAAAAAATTTGCGATCGAATGGAAAATTGCTTTCTCGCAAATATGCCCATTTCATGAAAACCTCTCATTGAATTTCACGAAATTTGGCACAAAAATACTTTAGGAAATAAGTAACCGGAGTACTGAGAAAAAATTGATTTTTAACAAAGGAAATTCTAGATAATTGAGTGAACCTTCGTCAAGGGATAAATATCTCTGTTAAATTGTTAACAAAATGGTGTTAGCTTGTGAGTATCGTTACAAGCTCGTTGCATGCAAATTATAAAGAAAATCTAATGATTAAATTTTCTACAAATAAACAAAACCGATTTTAAAGGCCTGTTTATATTTATTCATGTCGCCATGGCAACCACACACGTTGGCTTAACTAACAAAAAAAAAAACAAAGTGTGTTAACTTGCTTCCTGCCAGTTTTGGCAACCAAGAGATCAAGGGTTTTAGAGAAAATGGTGAAGAAACACAGGTATCAAAAACTGTGTTCGGTCACCTCAAGAGTGAGGGTTCTTTAAAGTCCCCTGCTAACCGGTACAAAGAAGTTGCAGGAGACGGGGCCTTTTTGTCCTTATGTGAGAAGACTAGAATATCCAACCATTTGCAGATGTCATATCAAAGGCAGCACATCCTCATTAGTTACTTTAAGACCCCAAGTGTTCATCCGGTCCTGGGGCTTAAACCCTCGACCTCCCACACGGCA